TTTCCCAATATTAATTATGTGTCATCCACATATCTCCAGTAACATTGTTATGATAACATTCATGGTGTAAGTACATTTTCTTTCCAATAGAATTTTCGACACCAAAAAATGAGGAGACATGTAAACATCGAATACGCGATTCCAGATCATAAATGTGTGAATTAAAAAAGACATTTCCACCAACAGCTGGTGGGATCAACGCCCACAGTTTTGCTCAAATAATACTAAAAGCAACAAAAGTTATCATTGTGTGCAAACGATTCATATATAATTATAATTAGTCACTAGAAATATCTGTGTGTGTGCGCTTCACAAGCGAAACATCAAATGTAATCTGTAGACGTGTTTATTTAGTCGTAATTCAATAAAGGGACAGGGAGGTATGAATTCAGCAACGACAGAGTACCTTCATCAAGAATCACCACTTGAAACTCGCGGTGTTATTCAGTAATTATTGCATTTCAGTTAAACATATAAATTATTTAGAAACATGAAACCACGTCATCACGAATTCTTCCTCATCTACCCCCTTCAATCACACTTCATGACATCGATTCTCGTGTAGAATGCAGAATTTGTCAAACATCATATCAAGATTACAACGATAAAATTCAAGATAAAGACAATTATCAACCTACTCATCACTGTAATCTCTGTGAAACAAATGTAACAATTCGTCCATTAACACTAGCATGCAGTAGTCTCACAGCTAATTATCTTCTCATTTGTACGAATTCAAACATTCGAAATTAGTATTCCACTCACCGTTGCTTTATCACTAATCGTCCTTGGGTGATGAAGTCGTAATCTTCAATTACGGAAGTGGGGAAGAATTCGCTTTCTCTCTCTCTCTCTACCGAAAGGCGAAATGTTGCTTGTTCGTGTCAAAAGAACCCTACCTCACAGTTTGTCACTACACTACATGACCATGTCAAGCAACAACACGAGAAGTGAGTGCACACTTCATCATCATCTGTCAACAGTCATCGCTGAATCAAATGATCAGTGGGAGAAATCCAGAAACAGTGCACACACACACATTATCCTACAAACAGTCCACTTTCACACAGTTTCCATCCAATCAGTCTACATTTATTTGTTCAGTAATAAATCACGTTGTTCATACATTCGTAAATAAATGTGGTTGTTATTTAGCACATAATCTTGGGATCCGGATTACTAGCAGCTGTACAGGGATGACGAATTCTGACTTGTACACCAGGGAATGACGTCAGGATATTAGTGTGTACACACAAGTATCTCACTAATGTGTTCACATTCATAACTCTCATGTGAAGGGTGATTTGAATATGCTCAACACACTGACTAATGAATAATTCGAATGAAAATGATTAGAAAGTGATGACAGTAAAGTGTGTGTGTGTGTGGATTGAGGATGAGACCACGTGAAATATTATCACATTTCAATAGTTTAGCCACAATGACACCTTATATGAGATGGTAAGATTCGGAGAAGAATTACTACTCATGAAAACCGCAACGTTTTCAATTGCCTAATTTAATTTACACACTTCTGGTTTGTGATTGTATATGTAGTTGATATTTGTTCGTTCATTTGTGTGTACTCGAAATTATATTTCAGCTTGTAGGCAGATGTGTTGTGCCACCCTTGGTATATGCATTCCGTTATTGATCTTTCCTTCCATTTTGATGTTATTAGACATACGAATACAAACTTTGTCGCAACCAATCTTGTGGTTTTATTCTAAATATGTGCGCCTGTGAATGGAATGTTTCTAAATTATTGTGTACTTGTGTTCCTGTGGGATGACTTTCAGTTAGACGTTTATGTTTCCTTACTCTTATTTTGTGTGATCTATGAGTGTTTTACCCACATATTTATTCTGTCGGACATTGAGTACAAGATATTTTGTCAACTACTACTTAATTTTTCAAGTATTGGTTTGTAGGGATTTTCTGTTCGGTTGCTTGGAGGATTTCATCATGAGCTGACATCAGTTAGAGAACCATTAACAAATCCTTCTGCCTCTTTTTGCTAAACTACAATTAGTTAACCCCTCTCTCACACCTCACATTATGTAATACATTTCTAAGCACAACGTTTACCAGTAGTATCTCAATGGTCTCAAGATTTCTTTGTTTTTTCATATAATTACGACTGTATAGGTGATGAAAATGAATCGTCGAGAAGAAAGAGATTTTCTTCACTGTTTGTGCCTAATTCTTAGAAGCTTAAATATTAAATTATCACCAGTGAAGTTATTATTTGATAGAAAAGTCAATAACTCACTGTGTACCTGAAGATATTTACATTACAAATGAGTGTTAATATGAAAACCTTCTGACAGTTCCATTAAAATAACTCAATCTGTGGACCTGATAAACCATCAAAAGCCACTGTTATCATCTGTTCATTCCTTTTCGTTCCGAGTGGAACGAATGATTTCAAGCTAGAGCTCTGAAGTTTCGTAGCAGTGGCCTTCACTTTTACGAGATGGTTGGCCAGCAATTTACCACTGTTATCATTATATACGGAATACGATCTTTAAGCAAGATATCAATGAGTCATCATATTACGTCTGATTCGCATACATTCTAATTAGTATTTTGGCTGTCAAGCATGAATAAGGAATTCCTCAAGTTATTGTCTGCAGCTGCATTTCTCACAGTTTCGTAAACATTTCCAACACACAGAAATCCATCACATACTTCTTTCTCATTTTCGTCTTCGCATTCAGGCGTAGGTTCAGATTTAGCTTGTTTATGACAAAGGATATCACACTGATTTCAATCGACCAAAACTGGTATAGACAAGAATATTTTCAGTAGTAGGTAGAAAGCATAACTTGAATCACTTGAATTCTGCATATCAAAACATTAATATTACTCACTATTCATTCGTCTTTTGAAATAGAAACCATAAATTCAACAGTTTACTAAGCTATTGTCGAATATCACCATTCAAATAACACTGATAGTACACATAATTTATACCAAATAACAGAGTACTCCCTCAGTGGAACATTTGCTCAGACTAGAAATACAGATCCATATAGAGCTGTTTCATATCTAATATCCTTCATATTCTTCCAAAGTTGCGAAGTGAAATATTCAGTAATTTGTCTTCAACTATGAAGAAGCCTGATGAACAGTTTGTGTACAGTGAAACACCACCCGGATTCAGAAAACAGCTACAGCGTTCCAAAGAGTTCAAAGCGAAAGAATGATCACAATCAAGCCATAAATTCACGAATATATATGCCTTATTTGGATCCCAGCAAGAAAGGAACTGTGTCTCGTCTCAAACTTCAGTCGAATCTGTAACATGTCAAAACTCGAAGAAATTCGAACCATATGTGTAGCTGTATGTATCTCTACAAACAGGTATAGTTGAAATGTAGTCAAACTGCAGGAATGTATAGTTTGTAGCTTGAATTCCACGTCCACTGATCATAAGTATGCATATCTCAACATATCTGGAAATCATCAGTTATGTATTCAGCAACGACAGAGTACCTTTATCAAGATTCACCACTTGAAACTCGCGTTGTTATTCAGTAATTATTGCATTTCAGTTAAACATATAAATTACTTAGAAACATGAAACCACGTCATCACGAATTCTTCCTCATCTACCCCCTTCAATCACACTTCATGACATCGATTCTCGTGTAGAATGCAGAATTTGTCAAACATCATATCAAGATTACAACGATAAAATTCAAGATAAAGACAATTATCAACCTACCCATGGCTGTAATTTCTGTGAAACAAATTTAAATATAATCCATTTACTCTAGTATTCAGTAATCTCACAATTAATCATCTTTTCATATTTATGATTGCAAATACTCTTTGTTAGTAGTGCTCTCAGCTTCAGTTTTTTGGATATTTATAACTGGTATCCCAACAGACAGTCGGAAATTTTGCGAAAAGAGATGACTGTCGATTTGACTGATTAATTTACTTTGCCTAATTAAATTTAGCCCCAGTGTACTACATCATATGGTATCACTTCAAATCCGTTTGATCTTCTACATAGATGAGAATCATCCCTTTGAAATTCAGATATTTCTTCAGATATCATATATCCGCGAAACCGTTGAATCGGTGTAGAAGTTCAAAAGGCTAATAGGGAGATTCGCGTGAACAGTTCCAGAAACAATTTAACAATTACAACATTTATCAAATTAGGGAGATCGCTACAGAACATCACATCCGACAGAAAATAGTGAATTTTTATATGTAATATCATGCAGCGAGAGAGGATGCTGTCTATATAGCTATCGCTGATACTTTTCTGTATACCTTTGTATAAGCATCTCTGTGAATTAGTACATAAATATGACGATTCACTGCCACTCTCTTACCCATATGTGTCACTATAAACGAAAAACACCCGAGGAATTCACTTAGCATGCAGTACACACTGACAGAAATTATTTCCCGAAAACGTTAGAGTAATCAACCAGACTACAGATGATACCATTGTGAAACGCGTTCAATGTTTCAGGAAGCTTCCATGAGTCAGATGAAATAACTGAAACCTATGAATGCTTTCTCAAACATTTGCACATATGTACTGGGATAAAATCACAGTGAATGACTGAACGCTAAAATTCAGACGAACAAATGAATTTCAAATCATTGATGATGCTTAGATCTCCACAATCTTGTGAAAAGTGGGGATTTTAAATCACTGGAGAAAGGCACTGATTGTCGTCACCTGGTTAAAAAATGTCTGTTCTCGCATAGGTCATACTATATTTTGTATTCATGCTTATGGAAATGTTTGTTACAAAAAAGATCCCATTTTAATCCACGGAACTTCCGCTGAAATATATGATCTTCCCGAACGATATAAACTGAGACATGATGTAATGCATAGGTAATTTTCTTTATGAAGCATATTTTCAACATTTTGAGCATAGGTAAACTCATCATCATTTTATGTTTAGGTAGGTGGAGTACAAAATTTGAAAATAAAAAGAAGTGAGTAGGCGTGCGATAATTCGAATCTATGAAAGCACTTGTCGCCAGATTTCTACTGTCTCAGTATGTGATTTGACAGCACCAACCGAAGAAAAATTTACATGTGTACTTACTCCGTGAAAGTGCTTTAAAAGAAACATATAACGTTATCCATTATTAATCTTCAATAAATGCACAAAACATTCCCCTGCCATAATTACTAAAACACTCATCGGTATCAACAAATTATTGGTCGAAACTGATCCTAAGCGAGTTTACACACACATCCTGATGAATCGATAGCTTTAGCAGTGTTGGTCTCCCATCAGTGATCAACACACTCGCAGCAAAGAAGAGTCAGTATTGTGTTCCCATAAGGGAAAGCTCTTAGTTTTGTGATAGAAATGCAGACGCCATATACAAGATGGAGAATGACACTAGATTTTGTCTTCATGTCTATCGAATTCGAAATCATATACAAGTTGTTTCTTCAAAAACAAGAAGCGAAGAAGAAAACTTAATCGAGAGCATCACATGTGTGGTGAGAGCTGTCTACTAGCCAAAACTGATACGTCAATGTTTACGTCCCAAATCTTGGTCATGAGAAAAGCAAGAGCAAAGCTTAACCTTGAGGAACTCAATAACCAATCACTGCAGACTTAGCGTGGGCAGATACGAATCACAGATACATCAAAAGACCGTCTAAGAAACAGTCACAATGAAATGACAGAATAACCTTCAACGGGAAAAGAATCAATCAGAAGACATTGCCTCTCTGCCAACAATAACGAATAATAATGTATATAAAAATCTATAAATATCTGTTGATTTTCTCAACAAATGATCTGTTGCCTGACCCTTGCCTTCTGTCGTTACACACGGTTGAGTTTACAATTCCTATACATATATAATGGATCACACTCTTAATTTGCTAAATTGTGAGTACAAATATCAGCTGCTATAGTGTTTCTACTGGTAGTGTCAGACAGTCAAATTCATTGGAGGATTGAATTTCAATATTCAAAACAGCTGCAAAAGGGACGTATTTGACGAACTGATGAAACGTTTATCACGATGATTCATTATAAGGCGTATATAGGACTAAATGTTCTATGCCAAGATGAGAATTCATGTCTCCACAACCTTAACCGGATATGTTTACCAAGCACTCTCTGCTCGGAAACTGCCTGGAAACATATCTCGAATGACTAAATAATAGGGTTTGTCCATGGTGACCGAGAAGTGTTTTGTCAAAGACTAAACGGAAACCACTGATAGATATAAACGATAATCTGACTAAGATACAAGAACTGATAACCTAATGTTTAGTAGAATTTATCACTGTCACCTTCATCAATGTCTGCATATGTGTTCAAAGCTTGACAGGACAGACAATCAAGGGACAAATTTTAATCATTGAAATTTATTTTCAAAGTATATGGTGACCAGAAAGTAATTGGGTTTTTTTACAACATTCGGCACCTTCACGATGTTAACAAGTCATGTTATCTGTGAATTGGGAATTCATGTAAATGAAGATCTATTTGTCACCACAAAGTTTATCACTTTCAACTTACGTGACATTCATATTGTAACTTTAATGATAATTCCAGATAATAGTTAGAAGTGTTAGTTATGTGAGTGTGAATGAATTTTAGTGAATTAACGATGAGAGAAGACATTATCAGAAAATTTACGATTACTGATAGTACATGAAGGGTTCGACTATATTTTGAAGTCTATCCTAAATTATGTTTTGCATTTTGAAACTGAGTCTTGGTTTATATGTCGTGACTCGCAGGTACTTAGATTGTTTGATTGTATATATTGTCTGAAATTTATGCATTACACTGGAATATGATGTATCCACACGCCGTATGTAATTCAAATTGGAGATTAACCACTTAGCTGTAAAATTCTTGTCTCTCAAGTAATTCTAAATTGTCTGAATGCAATTTAAATCTCACCGGTGAATCAAGTTGAAGTTATCAGGAACTTCACATACGTCTTGAGAACTTCAACTGCTGTCGAATAGGATCGAAATAAGTTTATTCCAGTAATCCCGAAATACTGTTAATGAGCAGGAACGAAATACTCTTCTATTTGAGAACTGAAGATCTCTATAAAACCTACCAATGTCATTCAGATTTCCACCTTATTCATAGTGATTTTTGGCGATGTTCATCAACACAAAAAAACATCAAACAGTACGAAAACACATTTGATTTCCGAAAAAGCTAATGATACAGCGTTGTGCAGATTCATGGGAACGTGAAAGGAACACAGAGAAATACAACATGAAGTCCACAAGTACCACAACACGAAGATCTGTGCAAATGGTGCATTGAAGATGAGGTACACACAATTTCATCATACACAGATACCAATTACCTTACTGGGTGTTCGTTTCCTACAATTTCAGTTTAACTTACCCTGACACTATCGGAATAAAAAAATAAATTTCACATTAAATGGAAGATTTGTGCAAATCCGTAGAGGTATTTCAATAAGTGAGTAAGTAAGTGGATGACTAATTGGCGTTAAGATGTCACAAAATTAGAAATCCTATACTTTCAAGAATGAAGTCGATAATTCATCAGACTATAAATAAATATTGGAAATACTGGGGAGGAGTGAAGAATAATGAAGAGTGAGACGGTTTCTTGACAGATGTATTGACTGAATTAACTTAAACTAGTGTTAAGACAAGTGTTGACTTAAGTTCTCTCGAGCACACAAACTGGCGTTATTCCCCACCCCCACCTACCGAGATTCCCATAAATACGACTATGTACAACTGAAGACAATTCTGATAGAGACCAGTAGCTGTAAGGAGAATACGACTTCATAGCCATTTATCGTTTCACATAATCAAACCTGTTGACATAAGGGATTCGAACTCCTATTTTTAACAACTCTTCAAATGTACATGCACATCATGCAAATGATTGGTTGTCCATCGAACAAGAGTAATACAATAGATAAGTTAACCTGAAAATAACACGTTCATACAGCTTTTTTCAAGTCAAATGTAAATCAGCAATGTCGGCAGAATATAATGTGACAAAAATATGCAGATAACACGGTAAATCAAATTTGCTTACAGGTTCCATTGGGTCTGAAATGCGAAATTGATATCACAGTTGAACAAATGAGTAAGTCATTTTGTTAGTTGTAAGTGAAGTGCGTACTAAATTAAATAACAATAATAATGTGAAGAAATGGAAATCGATTTCACTGAATCCATTAACCCAAACTACAACAACTAGATATAAGTATAAATCTTGGGCACTGTGTTAGAGTGACACAAGAAAATTCCTTCTACTACACGTATAAAAATATATCTCTGAAATAACAGCTAGAATATTGAAACCGTTTGAAATAGGTATAGCACACAAGCCAGTCAATTCATTTAATTCGATATTGTGCAAACCAAATGATCCAACAGAAAAAGGGGATAAAATTAATGCCATACACAAAATAAATTGGATGTGTGAACTGCAATTAACATTACATCAAGAAAGTAGGCCTCTCTTTCGTATCAGAATCCAGGAACACAAATCAGCTGTGAAAAGCCATGATATATATTCTTTCATGTCTAAGCATGTAGATAATTATGTACATCAATTTGATTGAGATAATGTCAAAATTTTAGGCGGAGGAAACAGCAAAAGTTTCAGGGAATTCATAGAAGCTTGGTACTCAAACGAATATGTGATTAACAAACATGTTGGTGTAGACCAAATACACTGACTAATAAAATTGAATCACGTGACGAGAAAGTTTAAAATCCAAGTCGATAGAAAATGATCAAAACATATGTAAAGATGGTTAGTGGGAGATGCGATTCTATCACTCATGGAAATTTAAATCAGTTAACTCTATGCTACAAATTCTGCAGGAGATGTTGTCCAGGAGATGACAAAAGCTCCGCAACTAAACCGACCAGCTCAGAGAACACTACTAACTGCAAAGAATACAACTCCATTATGGATCAGATTTTGTTTCGAAAAATCACACAGTGTTGTTATACAGTAATATTACCTGATGGCCACGTTTCCAGCACAAAATATAACCACTCATATTCATGTCAAATCACTACTCACACAACGTTTTCCTTCATTTATATACGTGAGTGGAATTGATGATTAGACAGTTGAATAAAAATCAGCAATATAGGATAATGTACATTCAGAAATAATAATAAAAATATGAGTGTTATTGATCAAATACAATCAGATGGGAAATAAGACGAGTGTTTTTTTAGTCAAAATAAATAACTTGCTGAAACGATGAAATGAAACAGATAGAAGAGGCGTTGGTGTTAAATAACTATCCTATAAAATTCATTAGGAAAATCAAACAAGGTCGAAAGCGAAATAAAAGTAATTGTGGAACTAGTAATGATAACATAAATAAGAGAGAATATATGTCATCTACTTTTATACCATATAAGGAGGGGATATCTGAGACCCTACGTAGGATTCCTCATAAAGCAGGAATTACCGTGGTATTCAAACCTACAAACTCACTAAGGTAGGACAAGCTCTGTAAGTTAAAGGACCTGTTGACCCAATTAGACAAAATAATATAATTTACAAAATACCTTGCAATGACTGCGAGTCAAATCAACTACATAGGTCAGTTTAGTAGGTCGGGGTAGTCAGATTGTCGGAACATTAGAATTTAGCTAAGGTAAGAATGGTTGACCCCGTGAAGAGGGTTAAAATTCTACGGAGTAGCATAGGTAGATGCAGAGAGAGAATGATTACTGAATCCTGCCTGGTTCATTGAGTCTACACCCAACACATGCAACATAAATGACTCAATGCAAATACCAAGATATGCATGGAAGATAGTATTACCACCACTCAGTCAAATCAGAAAAGGATAATAAATAATCTAAAATTCTTTTTCAATTCATGAACATCACATAAATTCTAACAAGTTACTTATTTATTTTGACTATAAAAACACTCGTCTTAAATCCCATCTGATTGTATTTGATCAATAACACCCATATTATTATTATTATTATTTCTGAATGTACATTATCCTATATTGGTTGATTTTTATTCAAATGTCTAATCATCAATTCCACTTACGTATATAAATGAAGGAAAAGCGTGGTGTTAGTAGTGATTTGATATGATTACGAGCGGCAATATTTTGTGCTGGAAATATGGTCATTAGTTAATATTACTTACTGTATAACTAACAAACTGTGTGATTTATCAAAATAAAATCTTATCCATAATGGTATTATATATATATATGTGTTAAGATGAAGATATATGTGTAATTTCAGGGAAATCACAATCACTAATGATGACATCATATCCTTTAAGTCAGGCACTTCATATATTCTTTATTACAAACAGTCCGGGATGTAAGCAAGATTAAGGAGACAGAGTATATATATATAAACGGATAGCTTGTGCATGTAGTTTTTTTCCGTTTTCCAATGTATCTTAATTCGATTCCACAGTTCAGTCACGGACTTCATAAATGTCAAATACACAGTAACTTACGGGTACGTATTTCTGCAAAACATTTTTGTTAAAATATGCATAAAAGAGTAAATATCGATTTGCCATTTAAGAATCTTTTCAGAGGATATATTTCATCTACAAATGCAAATCTACCCATTACAAAGTCATATAAATTATCTTTGTTCCTATCAGATGTATATATTGCTCCAGCAGTCATGTAATACTAATTCATTCCTTTTATTCCACATTATAAAAACGATTGTACAGCTTTAAAAAGAAGTCATTGAAAAGAAGTATTTCTCAGCTGAAAATAAATCTTCTTGTCTACATGAATAAATGAATGGGTATACAGTAATGATTTGAAGAATCATTCCAGTGTATTAAATTTCACAGATAATTAGAGGTTATCAAAGTCTTTATTACTGAAAGAGAATTATTAAGCTTATACATCAACATATATAAATATATATATATATATATATATATATATATTTCCACTTCAGGTTGAACCCTACATCACCCTAGTTTCCTTTGTTTCTATTGTTCCCTCTCCTCCCAAGACATGTTGACTGAATATTCTTTTCCTGTCATTTTGATGAGTGTTGACCACGTTTCAACACGTGTTGTGAACCAAACATTCACACACTTTAACTTCAACTCACTCGGTAAAGTTTCTGTCAGGAGGAAGATAAGATCGCGTGTATTATTGTTATTATTACACAGGTTGACTGCGATGAAATGTTTACTATGGCAAGAAATTTTACGATGAATATTCCTTTCTCTCTCTCTCAACGTTGGAATATTTGCAACCCATAAATATCATCATTTCAAGCATATCAAGATATCATTTAGAATGTGGGATGGCAGAACTCTTGTAGGCTCTACAATACTTACATGTTAATATATCTCACAATATCAGAAGAATGTACTCCACACTCCTCAGATACATGGTAGTCAATTTGTGATTTCCTCCCAGGGATTTTACGTCCTTCAGAAGAGTCCCACTTTATGATATCTCATTTCCTAATACCAATTCTACTGCATGAATAATTGACTTGATATCGCCTGCAATCAAATATACTGTGTAATAGCATATTCCCCTAATTATTTAGGATATCTGTTTGTGTTTTGATTGTACACTAGTATCTAGAGTGATATGTCTAGTCCTCTCTTTGGTGCAGATTGAATTCTATCAGTCAGGTTTTGCAATGTGACCACCATTCTAGGTAGCTCGCCATCATGGTGCACATTGATTTGATGATATTAGATAGCTGGAGGGAATCGGCAAGAAGCCTTGAACATAGGTTTCGTGCTACGTGACACTCATCAGAAAATCATATCTGCAACTGGGTGACGCGGGTTCGAATCTCACAAGGGACATGAGTTCCTCCAAGGAAGTTGCAGATACGCCTTGCTGATGGGTGACAACTATCCAAGACTTCCTGCCGACTGCCTTCAACTATCTAATATATCTGTTTGATATACATGATACCCAGACTGATTCTGAAATCTCTTCGAATGAGATTTTAGTCTGGAATATATGAATCTTTTACAACCTTTGTGAATAGTTTGTTGAAGATTGTTAAAATGATCGCAGATATTCTTCACATCTCTGCAGTGCAATACAATTGGAAAAATCCGTGCTACAAACTGGACGTGAAAGTGACAGTTTTTTATTTACTATCACATAGTGAAAAGTATTTCATCCCATTCAGTTGAGTTGTTCCCAGGTGAAATTCCGGATAAATGATTTTGTACTATTTTACTCCTTTACGTTCCCGGTGGAACATAATACTTCAACCCAGTGGCTTGAAGTTTCGGTAGCAATGATATTTATTTTTACGGGATGAGGTTGCTAGCCTCATGCCCAACCTTCCCTCTTTACCAATCTTATTACTAGCTAAGCGAAGTAAAAGTTGTGTCTGTGGCCGCGGATCGAACCTCGAACCACATGTATGGTTGGTGAGCATTCTACCTATGTGGATTGAATCTGGACCTAGTTTATGATACAGACATGAAATATCCTCATGGGACAATGTTTAGTCTGATTTTTTAACCTATGATCAACCGTCAGCCATTAGAACGCTACGTTTTTCGTAGACGAATTTAAATGTGTTTCTCGTCAAGAAAAATTCCGTATCCTATCCCAACAGCCACAGACCAGTCTTTGTCTTTCGATATTTACTTGTCTGGGTGAAAGTGAAATTACCATATCTAACCTTTAAGTCGAATTGTCCATTGCGTTCAGTGTTATTTTACTCATATTAAATTCACTCGGCCATATATCAACAGTTGACGTGATCATATCAATCCCCGAACTCTGGTAGGTAGAACAGGGTTAGAACTTATGACCGACGGGTTCGAATTCGCGAGTCAACCTACCGACCAATTAGCCACAGCTCCACTACATGTAGACAAAGTAGGTAAAACTTTTTGATAAAATCACTCTTGTATTCTCAAAAATGGTGACCCTAGTATAAATGAGGTTGTGATTACCATTTTACACTCAAAATCTTTCTCCTTTACTACTTGTTGACCAGTCCATTCCTATACCATCAAATTTCGATTGACGATTCACCAGATAAATACGATGAAGTATGCAGAAAATGTTGGATGGCTTAACAGATGAAGAACGAGGTATGTTTTACACGTATCATAGGAGAGAATAACTATTTGTTTGTATATATTCACATACATTACTCCGTGACCACTTCTACCGAAACAAAAGTATCAGGTATATCTGACTCTTATTATGGCAATCATAAGGAGCAGAATCCTTACTCGATTTTAGTTGAAATACACCACTGGATCTAGTCTTCGTAAGGTATGTCGGTGGAATTTGCACCGCCACTCTTTTACTATGTTGGGATATTTTTTAAAGTAGCCTGGGAATTCTAAAATACTCAACAAAATATCAGTAATCTCATTCCACGAAATAATCAGCACGGATTATCCTACGAATATATGATTCTCAGGTTTCCCGAATACTATCAATCAGTTACCAGCAGAGTGATATTATCTAAATGTGGTATGTACACATGCCATATGTGCATATTGTCTGTTGACTAAATGCTGAGATTTGATCACATCACTTTTATTTAAACGAAGCTCTACGAGAATCTTGAATGACGTTTTTGAGTACAGTCGAATAATCAAGACATAGAAGATCGTCTGCACAGCTAATCAATACGACACAACTCGTTAATGAATGACTCAGAGTAACGAAAAAGTTTTTTTTTCACTCAAGACGAACTGCTGAACCGAAAAGCGTTATTCAGTATTTATTTCATCTCAATGTGATCTCCCTACTTCTTAATTTCAGAACTAAATGACTATGAAATATAAAATTTTCAAATAAAATTAGGAAGATTTCTGCCTTATCCACACACACAGACACACACACTGAATACATTTCAAGTAATAAGAAGAATTTCCCAAGCATCAATTCAACGCTTTGATGATAAATTCAAAACAGAAACAACTATAAACATACACATAATTGCTCTCTCTGTAAAATAAATGTCAAAATTCAACAATTATTACTAGTATGCAGTGAGCTCACAGCTGATTGTCTTCACATGTGTATGTGTAAGTGTTTAAAAATAATAATTAAAATTATGATCAGTCGTCATCAGATGCATGACAATGAAGTCGTAATCTTCTATTTCAAGAGCGGCTGGCCAACTTCTTCTTCTTCTATTTTGCAGAAAGGCTAAATCTTCTTTATTGCTATCAGAATTTGAAATGATATTTGTCACCAGTTGATCATGTTATGCAACAGCAGAAGAAATGCACAATTCATCGTCAGCTATGAATAATCGTCATAGGATCAAATAATCAGTAGGAAAAAATTCTTCATTAATTTCCACAGATTATCTGGTGAGTCGATGCTTTTCAAAGAGATCTTATCCAATCAGTCAACATTAGCGTTCGTGCGTCAGTGTGTACTGACCGTTCACTATATATCTAAATTTGTTAGTATAATTTTATTTCATCTTTAAAAGAGGTGGGAATGAACGCTTAGGAATACACCCGTCGTATCTCACATCGAAGTTCCTTAAAAGTATTATATTCAGTAGAAATCTTTTAAAGCCAGTAGTGTAATTAATATGAAGAGTTCCGCGAATAATTTACCAATTAAAACATTTATCAAATCAAATAGGCTTCAACATAGAGAATCGCGCGAATAGCGAAATTTTGTTGGGTAGCAGCATGCATCATTAGTGGACGCTGTACGTACCTATCTGTAATATTTGTGTGTGTGTGTGCATATATTTGAGCACAAATATTACAGTTAACTTCTGTAATCAGAAGAAACTGATTCCCTACTCATATGTGGCTCTGTAAACCAAATATTCTAGTCACTATTCAGTAGACAGAGAAATGAATTCCTTTACGAAATATGTTGACGCAGTCATCCGTAATTATCCGAACTATAAGTGGTATGACTGTGAAGTGTATTTAGTGTTTGTTTCAAAGAGCTTTTTTATGTTAACCAAAACGGTTGAAAGTTGTCACATTTTTAACTTAACTGTTTTCTCAAACATTTTCACATATATAGTAAGATACATTTTGAATGGTACAGCCATACCCTTGTTATTAGCGAGGTTTTTAAATCACTTGAAGAACGCCTTTACCCTCCTGACACAGCTGGAGAATCTCTGATTGCTTTCATGTAATAGGGTATTATGTATGTGTGGAAATGTCCGTTGTTACATAGTTTCCATTTCCATTCACGAAATTTCCATAAAGTGTATGATCTTCACCGATTCACATCACATGAAATATAAAATGAGACACAATGTAACGCAAACTCAATTTCCCTTAGGCATTTGATGCATTTGTCAAATATATGCATATTTCACATATTCTCAGCACACACGAAACTATCATCATTTTACAGATAGATGTATAGGTTGGTACAGCTGTGAATGTTAAAATCAAAAATCTAGAGAGTAGGAAGCATAATCTCAGGTGAAATAGATAATATTGCTGTGTTAATATCGTCTGTTCTCAAGTTCGGATGAAGAGGAACTGTTTAGTTAAATAAAAAAATAAATTTTAACCATGCGAGAAGGTTAAAGACTTTTCATTGCTGAGCCTTTAACAGGCTTTGTCGTTTTATTCAAACACCTGGTGAAAAAGTGTTTAGCAGTTGTGTTTAAAAAATATTAGTGACCTGTCTCTATGACGTACACTTTCCCCAACGTCAACCGAATCAGACAATTTGATTTTCTCTTCCCTTAGGATTCGATATTTTCAATTTTATGCAGTGAATGTTTACACGATGAAATCCCTTTCGTTTTTTGACAAATATATGGACATAACTGTGACAGCAGTTATTGGAAACATTTGTGGCGAATTTTCTTCCCCATCTCGAGCTTTGATCTAGACTTATAACAGCTTATTCAATAAATATTCAAGCCACATGACCAAGATTTTGTTGATTTAGTAATATAAAGCAAAAAATGTATTTCCTGTGATCGGAGTTTATTTTTATTTATATTGAACCCTACCAAATTGTGCCATTTTAGGGCTGGTGGTTAGCTAAGTCAGTGGCGTAATTCATTTTTATTCTCACGCCGTTACATTTCGATTTCGATATTTTGAATTCTACAGCTTTTGTGTAAATATAGCTGACAAACATGTGTATGCTTAGAATGTCTGAAGAGTATTTCACAAACATATTACATGTGTCAGACACATAGTGTTTATGAATGAAGTCAATTTCTGTCTGCTATTTCGAAAGATTACCAAAGTAGAACTTCACATACAAAATAAAATTAGGCGTGTACTTACTCTATGTAGTGACTATAAAAAATGGACATTAGATATCATCAATTATTTCTCAGTAAACGCACAAGTAATTCTCATATCATATGTAATAACGGATTCATCCTATTCCCCAAGTTCTCCGTAAAACAACTATAGATACTCCCCTGAATCGATAGATGGTTTATCACTGTATTGCAGTCAGTCGTTTATAGTCCGGTTGTAAAGTGTATTCAAAGTTGTGTTGTGGACACACTTCCATCGTTTAGAGTGAGATAAAGATGACATACATGATGAAGGATCATAAAGTGTTTCGTGTTCATGTCTTCAATATAATACTAACAGTAAACAGATAGTATTTTCAAAAACAAGAAACTAGCGGAGGCATAGAAGTGAGGGAATCACACCTCTATGATCACATTTACTTTCATAGAAAGTGCACTTTTCTTCATAATTGTTCCTATTCTTGAACTTCTGAAAGATCAGTTATCAGAGTTACTACAGGCTTTAGTTATAGTATTTCTTCAATTAGGATTGGTAAATAGTCGTATTTATTTTCAGAATGTGTTTCGCATTCGCGAACCAATCACAAATGACTCATTCTGTGTAATGACAACAAGTTCAAACCGATAAGCAGGACAAGTACAGCTGAAGTAAAGATCATTGTTATGACTCTCCTAATGAAGTGATTACGGTAAAACTGGGTAAATATGTCCTCGCATTCTTAACTGAAAATGCTCACCAAATTTATAGAACTGTGGACATTTTTATACGTGAGGAATTATATTTGCCAATTTTAGGTGGCCAGATTCGCGCATGATGACTGATAAATTCAGTGTTGGAGACAGAAAAAAAGACATTGATCGTCACTTAATCAAGTATACGCGTCTCGGTTATTAGAGTTTGTACTTCTAACACGCTTTTATAAGTAACTGGAATTCATATATATATATATATATATATATATAATACTAGGGCCTTTAGCAGCAAGACATCAGAGATCCACTCAAGACCTGTCAAATTCGTTGAAATTCATTTCACATTACAATTATGAACTGAAAGTATTTTCACTTATTCGAAACATTTGTGACCAAATCCAAGAAATACCAAACATACGTAGCTGAATTTAGATGCACCGCTTCAGTTTAGAAAAGCGATGCATTTAAATGATGAAGAAATCTGATCCAATGAAATTTAGTCATTTTCAACTTACCTGACATTTGTGTTGTGACTAAAGAATTAACGACAATAAGGAGATATTCTCATGTGAAATTTGAATGAAAATTATTTAGATAAGTAAATTTAGAAAAGCATATTGAAGTATTTGCTATTTATTGTTTACTTTGGTTCTGTTTTGAAGATAGGGTTTCAATAGTACATCTTCTGGCTGTCTTGTTCAGTGTAGTACTCTATAGTTTGCCACTCGATTTCCCATGAGTTCCTACTTCTTCCTCACACAGCCTTCTAAATGTCACCCTCGTCCCAAGCGCCAACTCATCGTTTCTCACTCACGTTTCGTTCAATGCCCTGGTGCATCGTGTCACCAGAGGTCTCTTCAGCATGTTTCCAATCTATCACCATCTTCCTCAACATTTTATTAGCAAAAAGTTGTTGATTTGTTTGTTTCCGGAGATTCTTGTTGTGAATTCTTCGTGGCCATCGACTTGTGAAGGCAACTGTTGATAAAAGTTTGCATCAAGCAACTGGAACTGCTCTCCAGGACACACCAAATTTCTGACTCATATAGAAGAATTGACTTGATGATGATGATGTTCGGAATCCGATTTTTTTTCTTTCGGCTGACTGCAGAATATTTCTGAACTGAATTCAGAGTGATCAAGATCTATTTTGCCTTTCGAATTCAGGTTTTTACGTCGTCATCCGTGATGATGGCTGTCTCGGTTGAAACGATGCTGCCTACATAAGTTGAAGAAGTGACCTCTTCGAAATTCCCCCGTCGGTGGTGATTAGTGCTTGGTGTTTTGTTGATTGGGTATCTGTATCATCGCGTTCTCTTTGTTGCTTCTTCTGCCAACTTGTCGTTTTCCTGTCCTTGTCTGACACTGGAGACAAATCGTCTGTGAAGTTCAAATCTTCTAGAGTCCTGTATATTATTTCCAAATGAAATCTAGGAATTCAAATTCAAACCAATGCCATGCATGCTACACATATCATGTAATTACACTTACTGTAGAGAATTACATGTTGTGCTCAAATGAGTTGTATCAACTACTTGTGTCCTATTCATTGATGAAATCGTTTTCTGATAAAACTACCTTCCCCTAAATGAAATACTTTCATGATATTCGTCCTCACCCTAGTTGTACAGCATCTAGCACTAAAACAGTTCATCATTTTTGAATAAAGAATAAATTGTGTCACTTAGCTATAACTGAAATCCATCATGAATTTTACCGATTCCCTTGCTACCTTAACCGGTCAACGTTAAATGCCCTGAACTAGCAGGTTTACAGACGTGATATTAATTTGTTGAAGCCTCCCACCACAATATGGAAATTAACCATATTTTAAAGTGGATTAACTTACCCAGATACTATAGGAATATAAGTAGTCATTTTCCCTCATTAAAAAATACTTCCAATAGCTTTAATAATTTTGATAAATGTTTAAGAAATCTGCATGAAGTCGTAGTATAATAATTTGAATTCATTCAATGTATTGAAAGCGTTCTAATTGTTAACAGAAAAACTTCACATAGAATAACAAAACTTCCTATCAGAGAAATTCACACAGACCACAAATCAAGAATTTCCAAACAGGACAACCTCAGGCTTTAATGTAATATACATACAGCTCTAAGTGTACACGAAATTCGAGCAAATGATTCAGAACTATAGAGAAGTAACAAATGGTTCTAATTTCTGCAAGCAGTCATAATAATAATAACGGTTAATCTACATGACGAGAAGGCACAATTAGCTGACTCAGGTGACGATATGAACAATGCAGGACTCCAGGATAATGTAAAGTTTTAAGTAATTAATCTGGGTCAAGACGTTATAGAATTAGAAGTTACTCAATAATAATAATTAAGTGTATAGATAATCACAGCATCCGTTGGCTGTAGCATAAGAAGAGGTAAATAGTTTGAATGAGAGAAATATAAACTCAATTTACCTAGACTAGTAATAGGGCAAATTAAGGGCGAAATTCTTCAGAACATATAGATTTAAATTATATTTTCTATAGTTTGGTTTGTAAGGGTTAGTTATGTTTTTACGAGTTGATCACGAATTGATATCAGTTAGAGAACCATTGAAAACCAGTTGGGAGTACTGGACAGCTGCTGTTCCATCCTAGTTTGGGAATCATCGGCAGTATGCACCGACTGTATAAATGTATAAATGAAGTGCCTATTATCGCGTTCGATTGAGATGAGTCACCAAGTGGACAAAAAACACAAGTTCACAGTTATTTATCTTTTCCCACCAAGTCTTTTAATGTGCGGAATTCGAAATTCTCACTTATCGACCCACATGTGTATGACATGGAAATTACCGATTTTCTATAAGTAAAATCTAAAATTTGTCAAGTTTTCATCAAGTCCAATTCCGATAAATATTGTCAGTAATATATACTATGATGACGACACGCATATACTATAAAGTAGTTTTGCTTACTGTTTCCAGGTGGTCTGAAATACAACATTTACATCACAGTGAAAAAGGCGAGCTAATTAATTTGTTATGTGTGATTGAGATGTATACAAGTGAAACTGACAGATGGCAACAATATCAAGTAATCGAGGTAGGATTATAGAACACATAGGTACGCGTGAATCTGAACCGAAGCAACTATTATTTCTCACAAGGTACTGCTCGATATAAATAATGAAATTAGGAAACAGTGCTTTCTCAGAAACTTCATACATCTATTCCCCTTGATGAATTCGAATAAAGCGAGAACAACACTTTTTGCAGAATAATACAGTACCAGCATTGAGGCTTAGGCTTTTCGGTACAAGGGAACAAACGCTTACAATAGTGTCATTACCAGACATCTCCTTAATACAGACCATGCGGTCGTAAATGAAAATTCGTACAAAATTATCAACAGAATAAAAAGCTCAGTTCTCCTCAAGTTTGCCAATGCAATCTCTATCAAACGCTTGAAACCCGATCTATGTGCTCATAAAGAAGCAGAGACCAGTCTTTCCTTGCTCTGATAACAGGATATCTTTATTCTCTCCTCTATTTGATTAAGTAATCTTTGGCTTTAACTTCACATACCCCCTTTTAATATAGTGTGATTTTGTTTATCTCTTGATTCCAGGACTCGAGTTGAACTCAATAAATTGTCACCCAATTTATTAGTTACTCATCACCTTGTGTACCTCTTGTCTTTATTATATAACTCCTTTACCACTCTATGCATACATTTACTGTGTTCAAACTTGAACTTCTTATGTAAAAACTATGTAGCACTGTTCACTGATTGTGGAACCTCCTGTCAACTAACATCATGCAAAATTTGTAAGTATGTTGAAACTTCATAAGAATTTATTTAGGCTGTGATCAGCTGATGAGAAGCCAACGAAATATATCATGGTACCATGTTATTCTGAAAAAACTGTTATTCTTGCTTTACTCAAGTATTTTTTCAGATGAGCATATAAAATTCCCATGAAAACACAATTAGTTTCACATCAGTAATTACACAAAATCATTCAGACAGGGGATTTCACTCATCATGCGAACAGTCAGTTATGTAGGTGTGTTTGGACGGACACGTATACATAGTAGCGACGGTTAATCCCTTTCTTACCCAACTACTGTCAGTCTTTCTTTTGTTTACAAAGATATACTACTTTCCACTAGTAAGTAGTATGAGTCACATTCTGTAACTCCATAAGTTTTGCCCACTCAATGTATTAACATTCCATTTGATACATAGGAACTATCTCCACCTAGTTAAACGCCATTTGCTGTTCATACTTTACTTATCCACACCTCTCTGTTTCTTTGAATTCCCTTCGTGCCCTGTTTAACCTGACAGTGGATAGGCGTTGTCTTATTGGCCCACAGTGATTGTACTTTGAACAGAATTCAGCCACAGAGCTTATGATTTGTTGTTTGTACATTATAGCAAACTGCTACAATACTGTACTCTAGATATATCTTGTGTTTTGGATTGTGTGCCTAACCAAACTTGTGGTTTAATTCATTGATTAGAATTGCGGCTGCAGAATTCTTAGGAGAAATCTACAAGGACATTTTGTGTGAGTAATTTCTTTCCACCTTGAAATGTGTGTTTATTTTATCCCACACTTCATTCAAACACAATTCAAAATTTTCAAATAAAGTATAACATACGCATAAGAATTTCTACAAATAATTGTTATAACATTATACATCAACGAATGGGATTTGATTCACTAACAAAGCGACAAGTTCATCATAAACGAATTATGGAATCCGAGAGTGTCATTCACTAACCATTGTGACTAGGAAATGCACAGATTTTGTTCAACCAAGAAATAATTCTCTTTCAAAACACCTTCATTTTAGAATCACCTAACAAGCCTTTGTTTAGATATGATAGAGAAGATTTGTAGCTCAGGTGGATGATTTTGATGTGGTTTTGTTCTCTGAGCTGGATGGTTAGTTTGCGAAGCTTTCATCACCTTACTGGGTGACATCTTCAGCGCATACTTCAATTTGAAGTGAGCTTTTAGATTTCTCCACGAGTTTATTAATCATCTCTCCTGGTGACCATGGACGTGATTGGTTGTTTGTGTGTGTTTTCACACCTTCTAGGTTACTTGTATTGGAATCGGTTGTTTCTTTGACTTGAACTTTGACCCTTTGTGTATGAAGTTTCTTTCTTATTGGTTGATAACTTTTGTCTATCTCTATGTGTCTATTGATTGATGATTCACTGGAATACCAAGCTTCTAAAAATTCTCTAGCATTCTTGTTATTTCCTTTGTCTAATATTTGAACGTTGTCCCAGTCGAATTGATGTCCGTAGTTGTCTGTGTGTAGTGAAATGAGGGAGTGGATATCATGTCTTTTGACGGCTAGCTTATGTTCGTGGATACGAAGACGAAGGGGACGTCCACTTTGGCCGATGTAGTGTTTTTCGCAGTTGTTACAGTTTATTTTGTAGATGATGTTGACTTTGTCTTCTTTCGCTGTTGAGTCTTTTGGTTGACATAGAATTGAGTGCAGCGACTTTGTTGGTTTGTGTACGACGTCAATTCCTAAAGGTTTGAAGAGTCTTGTAGTGATTTCTGAGATATCTTTTATAAATGGTAAGGCAATTTTCTTTGTGCTTTCCTTGGTGGTTTTTGCTTTGGTAGGTTCTACAAAATAAACTGTAACAACTGCGAAAAACACTACATCGGCCAAAGTGGACGTCCCCTTCGTCTTCGCATCCACGAACATAAGCTAGCCGTCAAAAGACATGATATCCACTCCCTCATTTCACTACACACAGACAACTACGGACATCAATTCGACTGGGACAACGTTCAAATATTAGACAAAGGAAATAACAAGAATGCTAGAGAATTTTTAGAAGCTTGGTATTCCAGTGAATCATCAATCAATAGACACATAGAGATAGACAAAAGTTATCAACCAATAAGAAAGAAACTTCATACACAAAGGGTCAAAGTTCAAGTCAAAGAAACAACCGATTCCAATACAAGTAACCTAGAAGGTGTGAAAACACACACAAACAACCAATCACGTCCATGGTCACCAGGAGAGATGATTAATAAACTCGTGGAGAAATCTAAAAGCTCACTTCAAATTGAAGTATGCGCTGAAGATGTCACCCAGTAAGGTGATGAAAGCTTCGCAAACTAACCATCCAGCTCAGAGAACAAAACCACATCAAGCCTTTGTTTACCGCAGACTAAATTCTATCAGTCAAGTTTGTAATGTGGCCACCACTCAAGGTAGCTCGCCATCGCGGTGCACACTGATTTGATGATATTAAATGGTTGGAGGCAATCGGTAAGAAGCTTTCGAACTAATTTGACACTCATCAGTCAGCAAAGCCTATCTGCAGCCTTGAAGGAACTCATGTCCCTTCTGAGATTCAAACCCGCGTCACACAGTGAGTACTGCAGACAGAGACGACGTTATCACTGAGCTATTCGAGCTCGCAAATGACCTCCAGTAGGACTGTAGTGGTAACTCCTCTGACTGCAGCACTGGATGACACAAGTTCGAATCTCAAAAGGAACATGAGTTCCTTGAAGTTTGCAGATACGCCTTGCTGAATGGTTAGTGCCAACTAGCACGAAGCCTAGATCCAAGGATTCCTGCCGACTTCCTTCAATTATCTGATGACATCAAGGCCTAAAATCAATTCACTAAGATTTTGTAATTCATTCCCCTCCACAATTCAACCCTTTTTGAAATTTCAGATTGATTATTTTTATTCGTATCACGCATATATTAGCTGAGAAGTTTAAAGTGCCAATTCATTCCTTTTATCATACTGTGGTGATGTGATACAGACAATGTGTTCCAGCAAAATACTATTCTCACATATTCTCACATTCCAGTACTGCATTAACGACAGGATACTATGTATATGTGAACATTCCTCTTCATGATGTTTGATGTAAACCAAAATCACACGCTAAGCTATTGGTTACAGAATATAAACTGTATAGATATAAGCAGCGGTTTCATCCATGGAAAATATACCTTCCATGTCTTGACTTCTGCTGTTAAAATACTATCAAAATGACTGTACAACTTGAAAAGGAAGTATTTAGAAAGATTTACACTTATTTTAATTGAATTTTCGTGGATAACGCTTTGGCGTTTGAAACTATGGGAACTGAGTTCGAGCCTCGGTGGGAACATCATCACTCACTACGGAATGCAGGTACTTGCATCTGAAGATTCCCAAATAGGATGAAATGTGGCGCATCCTGGGTTCCACTGCTTGTCACCATCCACCCATTAAGATCTTCATTTCTTCACCGAACAAACTCTGCATTTTTCTAATAAATAAATGGGTATAATTTCTGATTTTATGAATCATATCAATGTACTACACTTCACAATTGATTAGAATGCATCAGAGTCTGAATTACTCAAAGAAATGAATTAGCGTATTTATGGAAATATATTTCCATGTCAGGCTAAACTGTGCATCATCCGTTATTCTTTATTCGTATTGTTTGCGTCTCCGATTTGTGTTGAATTAGGAATTCTTCACTTGTCTCTCTGTTGAATGTTTACGAGTATTTCAGTACAGTTTTAAAACCGTTCATTCAAAAAATTTACTGTGTACTCACATCGTGAAGTCTCTGCAAGAAGGAAGGTAAAATCCCAGGCATCGTTATACTGGATGACCACAACGTACTGTTTTCTATAGGCGAACATGTCATAATTTTCGTTAACTCGTAAATACCACCATTGGAAACATTTATTTTCCGATAAGAATTTAAAGCAAGCAACAAAGGTTAATAAAGCAGGCAAGATTTAATGAGTTTACCAAACTTCCGTAGAACTCTTCAGCTGAATACTCCACATACAGGGATCTATTTACTACCAGGATTACTTTGTCAGATATAAGACAGACAAGTTAATAAATAAAATGCACGCAAATCAACAGGTGTGTATGTTTTCCAGGACACTTTTAAGTAGATAGGGGGAAAGGAGTATGAGAGATCAAACTAAGGTAAAATGCATTAAGCTTCAGTAAAATCACTTCAATAAACAGTCAGTCATCGCAGAAGAACTTTAATATATCCAGAAATGCGAACTGAGGAATATTAGTAATAGTAATAATGTTGAAATGAGTTAAGATGATGCTACTGGTAAAAGACAGTTTTAAGTGAATCGGGAATAATAATAATAAAAACACTTAATAAGTAAAAAATATAACCATGGTGGATTCAGAGTGACGACCATTTCCTTCGGTACACAGAGACCTGATTTATTCACTCAAATTACACAAGCCTCACGCATCTTCTTGTTGGTTTGTCCGCTGATAACAGTGAATGAATTGATAACATCAATATCACTTCCGTAGTCTACAGAATGCTTTGAACTTTTTGGCACTTCGAATTTGGCTAATGCTCCATCATGCGAGTTGAAATCGCCTGTCTCTTCGAACTATGCATCTCCTTCCACAAACTCACTCAAATTAATATACGCGGTTTGATTTTGTTTAAATTTATGATATGGAATAAAATTTCTCAGTGCTGAAGACGATGACATGTAAATTTATCACATAATATTGGAACAATACATTCCACCTTGCACATCTTCAGACTAATGGTATTCAATTTGTGCTTCAGAGCATCGAATAACTCTATAGGCATGTGCTGACAAATATTTGGACCCGATTGGAACTCCGTTTGTCTTCGGATTACTAAACCTCACTATTGTTTTTTTATTGCGCAAGTCTTTACCAGCGACGTTCCACCAATAGACCTTTAGCACATAATACACTGATTCGCGTCTCACGCAATCTGATCCAAATAGACGTTTTCCTTTCATTGGTTTTTACTGATGTTCGTCAGAGTTCCGTCGTCCAATCGCCTTGTTTCCTATTCCGATTCATGTTGACTCGATTTGGCACCACCTATATTCTACATTATCTTATTTCTGTAACAAATTAGAATACCTATGTGTGTTGGTGAAAATTCAAAGTGAACAAAATACGCCCTTTTCAAGACACAAATCACAGATAACCCCTAAACAGATTCCGATATCCTTTTGAATGAGAATTTAGTCGAGAATATATCAGTACTTTATAATATATTTGCATGACATTCTGAAGCTTGGAAGAAATTTACTCAAAGATTCTTTGTGTTTCAGCGATTTCTGTTATTTACGTATCCTCTAAGAGTGAGGTTGTGAGTATTTTGTGAAATGCAATGTGCTAAATTTCAAATCATTCCACTTTTCTGCTGATTATCTTCTATATTCCAATGTCATTAAATCTTCACTGATGAAGTGGTCAATTCAAACAATTCATCAAATGTGCACGTGATACTTTTCAATGAGAGTAGACAGAAAAAAAGACATGGAATGAAGAGTTGCCTAAACGCATTATTTAGGAGAGCGGTGATTTGATTAGACATTCACTTACATCGCATCATGACCACCTCTGATCAAAAGAAACACAAGACAAAAATCAGTAAACGGTCGGTAAAAAGGTGTCAGGTATGCTTAAATGCTCGAATTCGCTTCCTACTGAATGTGTACACATTGACATATATATATATACATAAGTGCACTAATATCTCGTTATTTATTGTGACAACCATAAACGACAGCTTAGTTGAGGTTAAAACGTCATTTGATTCAGTCTTCATGAGGAATGTCTGTCGAATGAGTGTCTACCACTGTTTACTAAGTATGTTTACGTATTATAAAATAGCCTGAGAAGCTCACTACACCCAGTAAATCGTCAACTGTCAAAATTCCATCAAAAATAACCAGTAATACAAATTCTGAATAAATGTACATGGATTATTTGACGAATGGAAGAAGCTTTACAGGGTGTTAGCATGCAATCACTCAGTCAGTCAGTCATATCAGTGTGATATTACCCCTTATATGCAGTTGAAAGAACATATGTCCTTAGCTAGTGTATACTGTCCGTTTATTTTGTCCTGAGTTACCTTTTTTCAATTCCTTTTCATCTTCAAGAAAGGTGGAAATGAGCTGTGAGGGAAAAAAGAATGTATCACAGGTCCTTTCAAGGATCAAATTTAATGTTCACTTGTGTTTCGTACATGTGATAGGATTTCACATTACCACAAAATTACTTTGACGGAATGTTCTTCAGTTTTAGAAAAGACGGAAATCATGAGAAAATTCAATAGCCATATAAGCATCTATTCATTATCAGAGTACTACATGAACTCATTCAGATAGTCTGAGAATAGAGTTTATGAGAGCAATTAAATCTCTGGCTCATTTTATGTTACATGTGAAGTATAATAAAAAAATGAAGGTTTATAAAACCAACAAAACGCTTACTCCATATATTTCCTGTGAGGTGATTATTAAATAAAATTTAACAATTCTAAAGTGTACTGGAACAAAATGTCAGTGAAATAGTGAGTTTACGCCATTACAGAAACTATACTGATTATAGCCTCCATTCATTAAAAGTCGCTGGTCTACTGCTATACTGTTTGACTACAAAACACACGATACAAAATCGGGCCTTGCAATTTAGTTACGATGGGAAAACACTTTAACTGAAGTGTAGCGGTTATGCATGAGTCTGAATTGACTGTGATACAGCTACAGTATGCGTACAGGCTTTTTTTAATGAGATCTGCCCACGTTTTAACAAAGTCTGTAGTAATCACACCGTTCAATTACTTAAACATCGCCAGTTAGTCTGAGAAAAAAAATTCCAGATGACTTCACAAAATATCTTCGATATGCAGACCGGATTCAGAAAGTCTGCTTCAGAAAAGTCATCGAAAGTCCAGCAACTGAGAAATCACAAAATTGTGTTTTGACGTGTAAACTCGAGAACACCCTTGTAATAGAAATTTATTTTCTTGAAATGCTTCCAGGTGACTTTTGTCTTTTTCTTTTATTCTATTTAACATGATATTGTAGTTTATCGACAGAATTACCGTTTTTACCGTCCTTCAGTCTTTAATTTTTATCTTATTTCCTCTGTCTTGTTGTTTGAGTACTTCATTTGACATTGCTTCCTATCAAAAAACATGAACATCTGTTTCACACTAGTTAAACTGAAAGTATATCCAACACCATTCTCCATCTTAGAATTAATAGGATTATAAATGTCAACGTCATTCTGCGTTATTTTTAGTGTTCCTTCAATTAGAGGTGTTAGACAGTCAAATTCATTCCATGAGTGAATTTCAAATGTGGAAACCCTGTTTTACAAATACCAAACCCACAAAGCAGAGGACAAACGCCATTGATAGAAAGAAAATTTGTAAGACCTTCCGAACGAAATTGCTTACAGGATGGTTTAACGTGTATACGCGTGCAATCTCAGATGAAATTGTTTATCAAACGTCAACTAATAGGACCCGTTTACAAAAAAGAGGAATAATATCTACAGATTTAATTGACACAGTTGCAGTAACATGACCGAGAAGTATCTTCTCAAAGAATAAATGAAAGAAATCAGTGGATAGATGCAGTAGTTTGGTGAAGGCATATGAGTTCATTATCCGCCTAGATATTAAAATTTGTAGCTTAAAAACCCACATTGAGTCATATGAAAAAGAGAAGACTTTCAGCGAAGAGATTCTTTTCGGCGAATTCATTCACATAGCTGTTCAATCTCACTTATATATAGTTATTTTTATGTGTACGTGTGTGTACATGAGGTTTGTCAAGTTTAGATAATTAATCAGGTAATACAAGAATGATCTAATATAGAAACAAGGTTAATTACACAGCAACTAAAGTAGGATTACGTTAGTAAGTTAAATGATGTGATATAATTGACTAAAATATTTCAACTTGGGTCAGGATAGCAACAGATGTGATTACAGGTAGAGACTGAGTGGAGATGGGGTAGAGAATAATGGCTTTTAAATAGGACTAAAGTTGAGCAAATAAATTGGATGATGTAACACAAATGACTAGAAATTGAGTGTTGGTCAAGTCAGTAATAGTGGTAATGAAGTGTAGAAATTAAATCGGGTGGGGGTAGAGAACAAGAACGTTGAAAATGTAAAATATTACAATTGAGAAGACAAAATAATACTAATGAAGAGACAGAAGAGAAAAAATTAAGTAGAATTTACTTGTCGGGTATTAAGACAGATTACGTCCATTGCAAGTGTAGTGACTGAACGAACTTCTTCTGTATGCAGAGTTCAGGGCTTAGCAAGTGAATTGCTTTCGGGTATTAAGACAAACGTCATGTACACACACACACACACGACTAATTATACATAAATGCGACTATACAGCTATGTGAATGAACTCACCGAAAAGAGTCTCCTCACTGAACGTCTTTTCTTTTTCAAAAGAATTTGTGTATCTCGCACTGCTAAACAATTTAAACTATAATGATGAAATATATCTGCAAACGTCCTTCAACAGCGCTATGTGGCACATCACCAAGAAACATATTTCAATAATGGAAATTCTTTTGATAGGTATTAACAATCAGAATATTCAGGTTCGTCACCATATTGACAAATAATTTCACTATTGACAGGAAACTTCATTCAAATAAATGCGTAACTGTCATTCAAAATTTGTCACTATCAGCCTATGTCGAATTCATTCTGTGATTTTAATGAAAATTAACAACAATACATAGAACTGTTCATTGAGAATGAGGAGACATTTAAATTAGGGTAAACCAGGAATAAAAGGAGAGTGCACAATCAAATCTGTGAATTATGATGGCACAAAACAGAATATGAAGGAAACTGAATTGCTCTGAAGAATGAAATTTATCTAGACACTATACATTCTATTGCATAATTTAATAAACTTCCACTCCATACTGAAAATAAGATGGCCAGAAAGAATTCACAACAGGAAGTAACTCTGGCAATGAAGCAACCAACAATTTATGCCACAAAAAAATGTACAGGAAGAAATAAAGACGGATCATGCACACAGTTGTAAAGCGATTAAGCGATACTAAGCGTGCAGAGTAGCCCCTTGAGTGGAACCTCACTGGAAAGCGAGACGTTGGGCATGATACGGAAGAGATCTTGTGATGCAGAATTGAGATTTTCTGAGAAATCATGAAGTCGGCTGAATAAGTGACTGCAGGAAACAGGCTGAAATGGAAATGTGCTGTTGAAGTAATACGTTCCAATCGCCATCCACCCCCCTCTCCGAGGAAATAATAATAATCATAATGTAATTAACGAAAATAATTCCTGTCCTATAAGGACAAATTGTTCACAATTAAGTGGATCAATTTCTATTAAGATTAGTTTGGACAAAAAGTTAAATTTCAGACTTTTGGTGAAATAATCACTCCGATTGCAAAATCGTAATCCCATATGTATAAAATACAAAATGTGTGATTATTATAGGAAACTTACCGCGCGCTGATAAAGGTAATTGTGTAATAAAATGCAATTTTATTTACATATACATATATATATATGTATATTCACTCGCTAGCATTTTGAATGAGATATATGTCTTTAATGTCCTAAGTTTCAGTGCCGTCGGTATTGTTTTTACGGGATAAGGTTACTAACACCACGATTAAATTCCCCTCATTCTGCGCTTAACTAACAAACTGGTAATCTAGACAAGATTTAAGAGTGTGTGGCCAGGGAGTCGAACCCGGGACACGTGCATAGTTGGTGAACATTCTACCATTGAATCACTGAAGCATTTCTGCATGGGTGTTCTAATAACTAGTCAGCACTGTAGGCTTTGTTCAAGGCAAATGGTTTTACTTCACTCTACAGTCAATCAATAATATATTTGGTTACTGGTTCCTACTGAAGCACATTTATTCATCCTAATATACGTATCTGTCAGAACTACTGTGAGTGAACTAACTAGAGGAATTTCGAGTGCTCTATAAATCTTTTTTGATTCAAAGTATTTGTATTTGAATTAGACTGTGTTACTACAGAGGGGCCACCACTAACAAAAACTACACGCCCGAGCGCACCCGATTAGGGTCCGTTGCGAGTTTCAACCCACCAAGGTGCAATGGTGACCCTACACCCGGGATCAGAGCATTCTTGATCACCCTGAACCCGGTGCCAGGTAAATGTGTGTGTGTGTGTGACTGACCAAGACTGCTTCACTGTTTCTATCACCTTATTGCAACATATTTAGAGAAAAAAGAATACGTAGAAAAGAAAACACCTAACTAAATATACTGAGAAAATGTGAAGAAAAATAAGCAGGCCTATAAAGAAACAAACCAGGAAAACTTACGTATTTCCCAAAGAGGCTGAAAAGTTTGTTTCAAACACATACGTTAATGGAAATAAATTTTAATACGGTAAATAACAAATGCTTCCATGTTACTCAATAAACTTCGAGAGTAAACGTTCTAAACTTGCTTTAATTTTATTTTTGAACCTTCGATGTCGGCTCTTCCATCACTATGAACCAGAATTCACCAAGACGTGGATTGTTTACCCACTCATAGGAAACGTGGGCTGGGTTTAGACCGTAGTGAGACAGGTTAGTTTTATCCTACTAATTATTACTTTAATCAATGAAGTACAATCTGGCCGTTGCTATGGTAATCCTGTTTAGCACGAGAGGAACCGCAGGTTCAGACAATTGGTATATGTGCCTGGTCGAAAGGCCAATGGTGCGAAGTTACCATCTGAGGGACTAAGACTGAACGCCTCTAAGTCTGAATCCCGTTCATATTTGCAACGGTACATTCCGTATCCAACACGTGGCTGGGCAAGCTTACATTTTCCTTTTGGTGTTTGGACTGGACCACGTGTTCGTCTGGGCCCATTAGGTCTGGTGTTATGCCAGAACAATGACCTTAAATTATGCTCCGGATTTCGGGGTGTAGGGGTCGACACGATATCTAATTGTGGTATGAGCGTGTAAATACTAAATCGTTTGTAGACGACTTAATGTTTTGTCGGGGAGATGTAAGTGCTCGAGCAGCTATCACACTGCGAGGCATTGAGTTCTATCCCTGCTTGACGTAATGATTAACTGAGTCAGACATGAAATCGTGCTAAACATTTTTGTATTTGTCTTGATTACTACTGTGAGCACTGACTTCATTTTCTCAAGTCAAGTTAAACTGTTGACTGGATACATTGTTCTCACTCAGAGAGAGCACGAACGTAACTACCATTAAGACACGTTATCACAGCAAATGACCTTATGAAGGAAATCCTTCTGAAGGTAGAAAACAAAGTCTTGTATGTAGCATTACAACCAACCATTCGATAACCACCGATTACAATACGATAGAAAAATTCAATAAGTTGACAATGAGTACTAACTAACCTGCGGAGAGCAATAGAAAAATGGTGCATGTAATAGTATTCATCATTTTTGTTGACAGTAGGAGACGAAACATCAACAAGCTCATATATATACTGTTCACTGCAAAATAACATGTGACGCTTTGTTTTTTATTTTTGTACCTAAAACAATTTACAATTAACAATTAACTGCATGTGATAAAGCTAACCATCGGCTCCTCTAAAATAAACTTTCTATAAATAGATTGTTTTAACTAAAAGATGTTTTGTTTTCCCACTGACAATCACTAACAATAAAACATCAATAAAAGTGATTACATTCGGCAAAATATGCTCGAACAAAAGTTGACAACTAGCACAAATATGCCAATCAACTTTCAAAAAGTGAAGACACTCTTTCAATGGCTGACTATCAAGTTCTACACCCTCGTATATACATATGCATGCATATATTACGGTAAACTGATGGCCCATTTAGCACTAAGGCCTTGTAACTCAGCTGTATGGAGGATTCCATCATGAGTTGACATCAGTCATAGAAACATCGGAAAGCCTGAGAGTACTGGACGGCTCTCTCCCCAGTCGTGGTTTGGAATTCTTCAGCATCCACCCCCATGGTTCAAACTCAGGACCTCCTGGTTACAAGGCCAGCGAGCTGGCTTGTAAACCATTAAGCCATTGAAACCCGAACCAATGGCCAGCCCATTAATTCTAAATTCTACCAATTCATGACATACCATGACCACTTTGCAATGTTTTCTTCGATGAGTTACTGCCTCACTTCCAACCTACTGTACCTACTTGATATGACTTCCCACTAGAAACCCAAGTAACTGCTTGAATAAGACCAGTGACCAGTGAGCATCAGATCAATCTTCAAGTTTTGGTTTCGCAGGGGTTTTGTTTGATTAAATGGAGGATTTCATCATGAGCTGAGATCAGTTAGAAAACTGGATTTCAACCCGTGTGGTTGCGTATTGCGAGGAGTCCTAAACTAGGACGAAATAGCTTCTCATTACTCCCTGTAGGTTTTCTAATGGTTCTCTAACCGATGTCAGCTCATGTGTAAATCCTCCATGCAATCAAACAAAATCCCTACAAAACCAATACTTGAAAGAACTGAACTGTATATTTTTGAAGCCTGTCGGTTCAAATTCTATGGTAAACTAGATTTTCAGGTCACCAGTCATCACCCTCAACATACATAAAATTAACTATGACAAAGGTCTGTGTGACATTAATCGAAAAGACATAGGTCAGAAAAGAATATTCTTTTCTCAACTCCAAAGCTTGACTTTTATATATTGTTGTGAATGGTCAGAAATGAACTAACTGAATCCCACTTGTTCCGGCTGGCGGAGTTCTGTATCCAGTGCATCCTTCATTCTTTCCAGGATGATGCGACTTAGTATTTTACTTGGTATGGGTGCACAAGAGCATTTTTACACGCCAGTTCTTGTAAACGCCTTAGTCGCCCTTCCTTGGCAGCTTGAAGAGGCAACCTTTCTTCCAATAAATAGGTATCTTTCCTTCTTTTCAAACCTTTTGCAGTAATGACACAAGTACATCTGCCGCAGTCTCTGGGTCCGTTATCACCTCTTCGAGTTGGGGCAATTCCCTCTGGTCCTTTTGCCTTCCTGGATTTCACTAGCTTGGACGCATTCAGGATTTCAGCTTTGGTTGGAGGATTGGTGTCCACTGGCAGGCGGTTCTGTACGCGATGTTGGTGGTGGTGTATTTTTGGGCAAGTTGCAGGTGATGGTCGATTCAAGAGTCCTTTAGTGTGATCAGTCCATTGTTTTACTTGTTTCTCCTCCTTGGTAGTCAGCTTCCCTTGAGCATCCTTCATTGATTTCATCATCTGCGTTTATCTCTTCCCTGATTGCGGTAGGCCTGGTTATCTGATATGATGTCCTGAGGTCTCTTTTAACTTTAACCTGTTTGTTCTGCTTCAGTTGCCTGTCAGTCTGTTGTAGAATTGTCTTTTGTCATTCCTACCACTCTTCTTCACTTCTTTATTCAGTGCAGTGTACAGGGAACTCAGTTTCTCCTTCTGTTGTCCATCTCTGAATTAAGTCATATTCTCTTTCACCATCCTCCTCTCCTCTCTCCTATTAGCTTCCAGGCATCCCTCAAGAGCCATTCTTTGTCTTTCTTCATAAAACAGTTGTACACTCTTTCTTGAATATCTCCTTCAAAGAGTCAGTTCCAATGTTCTTCCACACAGGTTTCCTCAGTGATACCACGTACTATATTCGACTTTGCTCTCATCACATCTGTAGTGAAGGTATCCCTTGTAGTTTTCTCCTTCAGTTTCTGGGGTTTGAACTTAAATTACAATTGCCTGTCTCCAGTTGTTGTGAAGGATTTCAGCTCCACTCTGAAGGTCCCATGAACTAAATGATGGGCTGAGACAACATTTGCTGCCTTCCCTGACTTCGTATCCAGCAGGCTACGTCTTTACCTCATTGGGTAGCACTGAGATGAAGTCTATCTGGTTTATGGTGTATCCGCCAGGCGAAATCTATTTTGCTTTGTGTGTACCGTTATGGTTATGCACGCTCCATTGAAAGTTCAGAAGTCTGAGAATAATTCTCTGTCCCCATTCATTTCTCTGAGCCACGGCCTCTTCACCAATGATGAATTCTCCTCCTGGATTATCTGCTCCCATACATAATTGATTATTTTGCTTGATATGTAAATTCATGTATTTTGTAACCAACTGATATGAATATTTTATCTTATTGGTGAGCTTTGTCCCACTGGTCCGAAAGCGAGACCTAAAACGTACATTATGTTCAGAGATTCGAAAAATCTGTTCAGAAGGCGCAAAAGAGAAGTAGTTAAATTTGTTACATGAAACCTCACTAGAGATTCACAGGCAAAACTTGGAACAAAAGCCTCCGTCGCCAAAAATCACAACTGTTCCTAAGAAAACTCTCGTCATGAACCTGGAATTCAAAGGTACATCCAAGCAGAAATCCCTAAAAACCACCTTTCTTAATGTATGGCGATGACATTTCAAGCAGTCACCTTACGCATCACCTTCTCCAGCAGAACATTTATCCAGTCTAACGTTAGGAATAGCCTACCGCCTTTGGCTACCTCAGTGTGTATTTATCAGTCTACTTGTTTGTGTGCAGCAAAGTGTATCAGCCGTATACAATATCAAGTACACAAACGTATTCTGAAACACTTTCCAACTGGATTGGCAAGAGGATAAAAGAAGAATACCAGCAGCTCCATTGTCGAACATATTTTTAACTGTAGACACGGAGTACCCCCCACATGAATGCTTCACACTGCTATACAGAGTCCTTCAATATCCTACGAAAGGACTTTGAATATGCCATCTGTATACAGCTAAATCATTGGCTACTCGGGATCTGAAATCGGACTTCTGCATTGAAAGGCACCAAATACATTCCTCGCCCTATCGTGGTCAGAATAACCTTCTCAATGTAATTTTACCTCTTTTTTACTATGTAAGTTCTCATCATCCTTATTTTAGTATCACTCTACTATTGCTCATAAGTAACATCGTGGTTTCATAAAGATTCTATAAAAACAACGCTTTATCGTCTTTCCACTTGTTCTTGTCCCATCAATACAATTATATTGATTAGTCATTTTCCCACACTTATTAAATCATGCCAACTTCTTCCCCCTTTTCTAATTTCCAATTATTCACCCCTTCTACACTGCACTCTACATTAAGTATTACGTTTTCTAGGACAAATTTTACCAGTATCTGAGTGGTCTTATGATTTCTTTGTTGAATATAATTAAGACTTTACAGCTTACGAAAATGAACCGTTGAAAGAAACATTTTCTTCTCTGTTTACGTCTTTTTCTTATAGGTGATTCTGTGACCTTCGCCAGAACCGCATAACTGTAGCGTTTTGAAGTGAAGTAACGAAAAGGAATATTCTTTGCTGACTTATCTCTCAAAATCATTTTATCAATAATTTGATAACCATAAAATGAA